TTCCAGACAAGCCTGGGCAATGCAGTGAGACCCCGTCTCTACAAAAAATTTTTAAAAACTGCCAGGTGTGGTGGCTCACGCCTGTAATCCCAGCACTTTGGGAGGCCAAAGCGGGCAGATCACCTGAGGTCAGGAGTTTGAGACCAGCTTCACCAATGTGGCGAAACCTGTCTCTACTAAAAATACAAAAATTAGCTGCGTGTGTGGCACATGCCTGTAATCCCAGCTACTTGGGAGGCTGAGGCAGGAGAATCGCTTGAACCCAGGAGGCAGAGGTTGCAGTGAGCCAAGATCATGCCACTGCACTCCAGCCTGGTAACAGAGCAAGACTCTGTCTCAGAAACAACAACAACAACAACAACAAAAAACACACACACAAAGAATTAGCCAGACATGGTGGATCCCTGTAGCCCCAGCTACTAGGGAGGCTGAGGTGGGAGGATCACTTGAGCCAAGTCAGCTGAGGCTGCAGTGAGCCATGACAGTGCCACTGCACTCCAACCTGAGTGACAAAACAAGACCCTGTCTCAAAAAAAACCCCCAAATAGATGGTATAGCCATTACATTCCTTTCAACAATGTAAGACAGTTCCTTTTTCTTCATATGCTCATTGATATACTGTTTTGTTAAACGTTATAATTTTTATAACTATAATAGTTAAAAATTTGTCTTACTATAGTTTCAATTTACATTTCTTTTATCAATTAGATTTATGCAGTCAAAACCTATTTGCATTTCCTTTTCTATCAATTATTTGTTTACATTTTTTGCACATTTTTCTCAGTCATTGAAATTAGCCTTCTCTTTAATTTGCAACACATAAATAATTTTTCCTTAATTAGAAATTTCTTTTTACTTTATATATATTTTCCAGAAGGGTGACACCTTTGAAATTCTTACACAATCAAATATATTCCTTTTTATGACTTCCCTACAACAAAGTTATAAAAGAAGTCCTCTGTTTTATTTAGAGTTTTATTTAATAATGTTTAAATATTTCACTCATCTGGAATTTATTTATCCTTCAGAAGGATACAAAAGAAAGTGCCAACACTGGTTACATGTGAAGGGAAATGGTTGGCTGAGAGACAAGAGTGGAAGAAACACTTACTTTTTACTTTTGTATAATGTACATGTAAATCTAGCCAATAAAAATAAACAATTTCAAAAGAAGAGGGGAAAGAATCCCTTTCCCTTTTTTTCTTTAAGACAGAGTCTTGCTCTTGTCACCCAGGCTGGAGGGCAACAGTGCAATTTTGGCTCACTACAACCTCCGCCTCCTGGGTTCTAGCGATTCTCCTGCCTCAGCCTCCTGAGTAGCTGGGATTACAGGTGCCCACCACCACATCCAGTTAATTTTTGTATTTTTATTAGAGACGGGGTTTCACCATGTTGGCCAAACTGGTCTCGAACTCCTGACCTCAGGTGATCCACCCGGCTCGGCCTCTCAAAGTGCTGGGATTACAACAGGCATGAGGTGCTGTGTTGGGCCCCCTTTTTTTTAATACTCTAGTTTTTCATAACTTTCTTGACAATTGTTGCTTATTTATTTTTTCTTTTCTTTTCTTTTTTTTTTTTTTTTTGAGACGGAGTCTGGCTCTGTCGCCCAGGCTGGAGTGCAGTGGCCGGATCTCAGCTCACTGCAAGCTCCGCCTCCCGGGTTTACGCCATTCTCCTGCCTCAGCCTTCCCAAGTAGCTGGGACTACAAGCGCCCGCCACCGCGCGCGGCTAGTTTTTTGTATTTTTTAGTAGAGACGGGGTTTCACCGTGTTCGCCAGGATGGTCTCGATCTCCTGACCTCGTGATCCGCCCATGTCGGCCTCCCAAAGTGCTGGGATTACAGGCTTGAGCCACCGCACCCGGCCTATTTTTTCAAATAATATTCAGAATCAATGTTCTGGATCTACAAGGAGAATATTCTTATTTGAATATATTATATCTACAAATAAATTCAGAAAAAAGTAAAATCTTGGCTGGGTGTGGTAGCTCACGCCTATAATCCCAGCACTTTGGGAGGCCGAAGTGGGCAGATCACGAGGTCAGGAGTTCAAGACCAGCCTGGCCAACATGGTGAAACCCCCGTCTCTACTAAAAATACAAAAATTAGCCAGGTGTGGTGGCATGCGCCTGATTTTAGTGTTTCATGTGGTAGTTGTTTTGGGATTGAAAGACACCCATAAACATATACACACATATATATGTAAAGACACACTTATACATATATACCCTAAATTTATTAAAAACTGTAATCAAGGGTAAATGTTGGCTAGGCGTGGTAGCTTACGCCTGTAATCCCAGCACTTTGGGAGGTTGTGGCAGGTGGATCACCTGAGGTCAGGAATTCGAGACCAGCCTGGCCAATATGTGAAACCCTGTCTCTACTAAACATACAAAACAAAACAAACAAACAAACAAAAATTAGCGCACGGCTGTAGTCCCAGCTACTCGGAGGCTGAAGCAGGAGAGTTGCTTGAACCTAGGAGGCGGAGGTTGCAGTGAGCCATGATCATGCCACTGCACTCCAGCCTGGGCGACAGAGTGAGACTCCGTCTCAAAAAACAAAAACAAAAACAAAAAAACCCCAAAAATACAGGGAGGGTAAATGCTATATTTTACCTAAGGACTTCCCAGCACATATAGAGATGATGAGGTTTCTCTTTGTCATTATTAATATGGCGAATTATATTGATATGTTTCTTAATATTCAACTTTCCTTGAATTCCTAATGTGAAAGTCATTTGCATATAATCAATATATTAGGTTTTTAATGAGTTTCTGGATTTCATTAATCTATTAATATTGAGGATTTGTGCATTTGTAGACTCGTTTTCATTTTTGTGCTATCTTGTCTGATTTTGGTATTAAGTGTTTGACTTCATAGAAACAATTTAGAAGAATTTTATCTTTGTACTTTGGAGCTCTTTAAAAAGCATCAGAAAACCATGACCATGTGGTGTTATTTAAAGGAATTATAAAAAAAAAAAATGCATTGGGAAAAAACCATGAGAGACTCATATCACATACAAAGAGATTATTTTTGTAATATATAAAGATATTCAGCATATCAAGAAAAAAGCCAACACATTTAGAAGACAGGGCAAGCAGCACACACAGACAACTGACAGAAAAAAAGTACAAGTAACACGTATGTGTGAAAAAAAATGCTCAAATGCATTTAATGACATAACGGACAAATGTGTATTAAAGCTACTATCAGTTCACATTGGCCAAGAATAAAATAATTTATATTTCACTATGTTTGAAAGGTATAGAAAAAGAAACAATCTGGCATAGGGCTGGTGGAAATATAAAAAGCTGTGTCTTCCATGGAGCATGATTTGGAAAAATCTAATAATATAAAAATGCACATGCCCTTTAAACTAGCAATTTCACTTCTATAACTTTATCTTAAGATTTTTTCCCCTATGTATATGGCATGAAATATGAAAATAGCTAACAACTATCGAGTACTCCCCACGTATGGTCACTGTTCAAGCACTTTATAAATATTAGGTAATGTAAGTCTCATAATAACTCTCCAAGGCAGGCATAATACTTTGCCATTTTTTTTGAGCTGAAGAAACTGAGGTATGAGGAGATAAAGTTACTTTTCTAAAATGAAGCATTCCACAATAGTAGATGTGAAAATAAAACACAAGTGGTCTAGCTCTAAATTTCCATGTTCTTCAGAACTATAAAATACTACCTCTCAACATGTGCAAAGATATTCACTGCTGCATTGTATGCATAGCTATATACTATAAACGTCCACTAAGAGTAGACTGCATAAATAAATTCTAAACGGTATAATAGATGCAGCATTTAAAATGAATATCAGGCTGGGCGTGGTGGCTCACGCCTGTAATCCCAGCACTTCGGGAGGCCAAGGCAGGCGAATCACCTGAGGTCAGGAGTTCGAGACCAGCCTGGCCAACATGGTGAAACCCCATCTCTAGTAAAAATAACAAAAATTAGCCGGGCATGGTGGCGCATGCCTGTAATCTCAGCTACTCAGGAGGCTGAGGCAGGAGAATTGCTTGAACATCGGAAGCAGAGGTTGCAGTGAGCCGAGATTATACCACTGCACTCCATCCAGCCTGCGCAACAGAGAGAGACTCTGTCTGAAAAAAATACTATAAAATAAAATAAAATGAATATCAAAGCTCTTTGAGTAACTGATATGGAAAGATCTACAATACATACTAGATGAAGAAAGCGAGCTGCAGAATAATAAACAAATTGTGCTATATATGTTGAAATAAAATGAAGTAATATTATACACATATAATCATGTTTTGTATTACACATGCTTGCTCACCCAAAGAGTATCTTCAGAAGGATACAAAAGAAAGTGCCAACAATGGTTACACGCGAAGGGAAATGGTTGGCTGAGAGACAAGAGTGGAAGAAACACTTACTTTTTACTTTTGTATAATGTACATGTAAATGTAGCCAATAAAAATAAACAATTTCAAAAATAAAAAGTAGAAACTAAAAAATAAAAATATTATCTATTACTTTTATTTATTTTACATATAGTTCATCCACCTATACATAATAATCCACCAACTGCCGGGCGCGGTGGCTCAAGCCTGTAATCCCAGCACTTTGGGAGGCCGAGAAGGGTGGATCACGAAGTCAGGAGATCAAGACCATCCTGGCTAACACGGTGAAACCCCATCTCTACTAAAAAAACACAAAAAACCAGCCGGGCAAGGTGGCGGGCGCCTGTAGTCCCAGCTACTCGGGAGGCTGAGGCAGGAGAATGGCGTAAACCCAGGAGCCGGAGCTTGCAGTGAGCTGAGATCCGGCCACTGCACTCCAGCCTGGGCAACAGAGCGAGACTCCGCCTCAAAAAAAAAAAAAAAAAAAAAAAAATTCCACCAATTATTTCATAGCTACCACAAATTTGTAAAACACTGGAATAAAGAATGATTAATAAAGCAATGTTCACAGTAAATATGTAAGGAAAAAGTTTATGGAAAATAGTTTGTCTTACCTGATGCGTGCATTACAGTATCTTTTTGCATAGTCGGTCCATCTTCCAAATTTTTGTGGAAAGAGAGCTTCAATCTGCATGAAAAGCTATAACAATACAAGTGTTCATAATATGTTGTAATATTTTCAAGTAAATTATTATTACAATGATAAAACCATTTAACAAAATAGTAGGAAGTATAAAAGAAAATCCAACTCTTTCTTTCTCAAGTCCTCTCCCTTTTATTCATCGGGGTAATCGTCATGTGTTGTATAAATACACATTTTTCTATGTTGATATAAGCATACATTTATTCACATAAAGAGGATCATATCATATATATTGTTACACAACTAGAATTGTGTCCCATAAAACATGTCTCAGACACTTTTAAAGTACACGTGTCTATTTTTATTTAGTTTTAAAGCCTTATATAAACAATATAATAATAATGCACTATTTAAAAACTGAATGGCAGGCCGGGCGCGGTGGCTCAAGCCTGTAATCCCAGCACTTTGGGAGGCCGAGGCGGGTGGATCACGAGGTCAGGAGATCGAGACCATCCTGGCTAACACGGTGAAACCCCGTCTCTACTAAAAAAAATACAAAAAACTAGCCGGGCGAGGTGGCGGGCGCCTGTAGTCCCAGCTACTCGGGAGGCTGAGGCAGGAGAATGGCGTGAACCCGGGAGGCGGAGCTTGCAGTGAGCTGAGATCCGGCCACTGCACTCCAGCCTGGGCGGCAGAGCCAGACTCCGTCTCAAAAAAAAAAAAAAAAAAAAAAAAAAAAACTGAATGGCATTCTCAGCAAACTATCGCAAGAACAGAAAACCAAACACCGCATTTTCTCACTCATAGGTGGGAATTGAACAATGAGATCATTTGGACACAGGAAGGGGAACATCACACACCGGGACCTGTTGTGGTGTGGGGGGAGGGGGGAGGGAGGAGGGATAGCATTAGGAGATATACCTAATGTAAATGACGAGTTAATGGGTGCAGCACACCAACATGGCACATGTATACATATGTAACAAACCTGCATCTTGTGCACATGTACCCTAGCACAAAAAGTATAATTAAAAAAAAAAAAAAAAACAAAAAAAACAAAAACAAAACTGAATAGCAACCCATTATGATGTAGATGTACTGTAAAATATTTAAACAGACTCCTGATATTGGACATATAGGCTATTTCCAGCATTTTATTTATTTATTTTTGAGACAGAGTCTCGCTCTGTCGCTCAGGCTGGAGTGCAGCGGCGCAATCTCGGCTCACTGCAAGCTCCGCCTCCAGGGTTCACGCCATTCTCTCACCTCAGTCTCCCGAGTAGCTGGGACTACAGGTGACCACTTCCACGCCCGGCTAATTTTGTTTTTGCATTTTTAGTAGAGTCGGGGTTTCACCTTATTGGCCAGGATGATCTCGATCTCCTGACCTCGTGATCCACCCGCCTCGACCTCCCAAAGTGCTGGGATTACAGGTATGAGCCACCACGCCCGGCCTATTTCTAGCTTTTATGAAGTTACTAATACTAGCAACTTCATATAACTTTGTGTGTGTGTGTGTGTGTGTGTGTGTGTGTGTGTGTATATATGAATATATAGGTGTAGTATATCTATTAATCATCTATCCATTCATCCATCCATTCATTCATCCATCCATTTGCATTTCTATTAGAGGTGATGTAGGATTATATTTAGAAATGGAATAGCTGATTCTAAGGTATATGCTGTTTTAAAGTTTGATAATGTTACCATGTTGCCCAGTAAGATTATCCCAATTTACACTCCCATCAATAGTATCTTGAAACATTTTCATTTTTACAACTCTGATAGGCTGCACAGAGTACTGTCTCATTATTTTAATATATTTTTTAAAACCAACAGCTTTATTGTGACATGTAATTCATATACTATTCAAACTTTTAAAGAACATAATTCAGTGGCTTTCAATAGATTCACACAGTTGTGCACCAATCATGACCAATTCTATAATATTTTTATCATCCCTCAAAAAACTTCCATACCCATTAGTAGTCACTGCCTATTTCTCCTCTCTTCTGATTCTGCCACCTACTAATCCACTTTCGGTCTCTATGACTTGGCCTATTCTGGGCATTTCATATAAATAGAATCATATGATACGCAGCCTTTTGTATCTGGCTTATTTCACCCAGCATAGTGCTTTCAAAGTTAATTCATGTTATAGCATATATAGTATTTCATTCCTCTTTAGGTCCAAATAATTCCATTGTATGGCTATATCACATTTGTTTATACATTCATCAATTGATGAGTATTTTACTTGTTCCCACTTTTTGAATATCATGAATAATGCTACTATGTAACTATACACATGAGTATATAATTTCTGGTGAGAACTTGTTTTCAGTTCTCTTGGGTATATACCTAAGAATAAAATTATTGGGTGATACAGTAACGTTTTAAGTAACTCCTAAATTTTTCTAAAGTGACTTCAGTGCTTTATGTCCGTTTAATATGACAACATATTCAGAAATAACCAATGGGCCAAAGAAGAAATCACAAAGGAAATTAGAAAACACTTTGAGATAAGGGAAATTGAGAACACAACATACCAAAACATGAGTTGCAGCAAAAATAGTGCTAAGAGGGAAATTAATAGTTGCATATGCCTATGTTAAACAAGAAGAACTCAAATCAATAACCTAATTTTTCACCTTAACACACTGGAAAAGTAAGGGCAAACAACACACAGCAAATAGAAGGAAGGTCACAATAAAGATTAGAGTGGAAATAGACTGGGCGCGGTGGCTCAAACCTGTAATCCCAGCCCTTTGGGAGGCTAAGATGGGCAGATCACTTGAGGCCAGGAGTTTGAAAGCAGACTGGCCAACATGGTAAAATCCAGTCTCTACTAAAAATACAAAAATGTGCCAGGCGTGGTGGCACGCACCTGTAATCCTAGCTACTCGGGAGGCTGAGGTGGAAGAACTGCTTGAACCTGGGAGGTGGAGGTTGCTGTGAGCTAAGATCATGCCACTGCACTCCAGCCTGGGCAACAGAGTGAGACTCTGTCTTAAAAAAAAAAAAAAAGAAAGAAAGAAAGAAAGAAAAACAAAATGAGAGAACTCACACTTCCTAATTTCAAAACTCCTAACTTAGAATTTCAAATTTTATATTATTTTTCTTAAAAAAAATCCCAAACACAAATTGTACAATCATTAGTACTCACAAAATTGGTATTTACCCTTGGTTTGAATAGTGGCTACCATAGGTGAAGAGTGAAAAGTAATGACATGTGATAAGAGTAGGATGTAAGAGCCACTGTTGTATTGTCAATGTTCTATTTCTTAAGCTCGATAATAAATAGATGAGTATTTATTTTGTTATCATCATTTAAAATGTACGGTTTTTTTTTTTTTTTTTGAGACAGAGTCTCACTCTGTCGCTCAGGCTGGAGTGCAATGGTCAGATCTCAGCTCACCGCAACCTTGGCCTCCTAGGTTCAAGTGATTCTCCTGCCTCAGCCTCCCGGGTAGCTGGAACTACAGGCCAGGCCACCATGCCCAGCTAATTTTGTATTTTTAGTAAAGATGGGGTTTCACCAATGCTGGCCAGGCTGGTCTTGAACTTCTGGCCTCAAGTGATCCACTCGCCTCAGCTTCCCAAAGTGCTGGGATTACAGGCATGAGTTACTGAGTCCAGCCTACTCACTGGACTCAGTAGGACTGAGTATCTTGAAGGATACGTTTCATGATTTTTTTTAAAGGATATAATCACCCCTATTATTCAATGACATAATTTGGGGACATATATCAATTACTTGGAGCTACAGCACTGTCAGTGGGTATCCAAGAGAAAAAACTGTAAAAGGTAAAATTAAACATTTTATCATCACTATCTATGTACTTTTATATGTATCTCACAAGATTTCCAGGATAGAATTGAAAGTAGAGCTTAGGTAATACTGTTAGACAGGCAATGATAATAGCTGTCACCCAGGCTTGGCTCAAAAATTAACATAATATTGGCTACCATATGTTGAGTGACTGTGTGACAAGGCACAGGGTGAGGTACTATCAAAGCAGTATTACCTTTAATTCTCCCAGCAACCCTACAAGACAGCCCATGTTTTTCCATGATTCAGTGTTCATTAGTAAACAGAATTTCCTTAAGGAACACTAAAACTTACAGACATTTCTTCCATCATGTCTTCTTCCTAACTCTTTAACCACTCCATGTACTACCCATCTCTTAGAGTAGCAAAAGCTAAATGGGATATCAAATGTATGCCTTATTCTTTCATTCTAGGCAGATACCTTATCTGGTCTGCACATAAGCTTTAGTTTCTCTTTACTTTCCCAAATGTGAATCTTAAAGTGAAAGAACAGAAAGAAGTTCTGCAATGCAATGTAAAAGAAATAAGGTAGATTCAATCCCAATCCTAAGCAGCTTATAATGTAAAATAGATAGGATAAATGAAGATTAAGACCATAGAAGAACCTCAGGAACACATTGTGAAGAATATTATACAGTTGTACTATGTATGGAAGCCTTATCATAAAGATAAAAGCTGTTTTTTTATACACACCTACAAGCCTGGCGAAAGTTTAAATGTAAATAGATTAAAATAGCCATGATAAAACATACGTACTATCTATAAATTCCCAATGTACTCCTCTAGCATTTGAGGCATCTAATTTGAAATCAAAAATTGCAAAACAGGTGGTTAATTCAATATCCCTCCTACCTCCCTTCTCTTCTTTCAAGTTCAGAGTATAAGGATTGTAATACCTCTTCAGGCCTTCCTAAAGCTGGTGTTCCTGTAAGAAGAATGGCTCGTCTGGCTTTCTGTACTACTGGCAATAAAATCCTGCTGCGAGTTGCATTTCTGGATTTCATGTAGTGTGATTCATCCACTATAACTACTTTGAAGTTCTGGTTATTCAGTGCATCTATCAAAGTCTCTGCATCTGCGGTTAAGAGACCATAACCCAGAACTGTCACTTTACTGGTCGATATTCTCCTAGAAAAGAAAATCCATGTACTTAAAAAATATCTCAGTAATGACGTTATCATAAACAATACAACTCTATTGTGAAAAAACACACAGGAGAAGAAAGCAGAATAGAGGAAAAATAAAAGGAGATGGTACTGTTACTGAAACTCTTAAGATTTCACAATCCTCAAATCTAATAAAACAGGATCCAAAATTTACAGTCTTGCATAACCAAAACCAAAGTTTTAGTCAAATGATCTTTGAAAGGTTTTGACATCCAGCAAGTCACATTACGTTCTGACAATATTTGCTTCTGTGTACCTAGGATCACGCATAAAATGGATAATTAAATACTAGTTGACTCTTAATGAAACCTTCACACAAATAAGATAGCAGTTTTTCAATCCAGATGCTACTGGTATTTTGAGCAGGACTAAGTGAAGCTCTGCGGTGCACTGAACAGCCCCTCCTGCTCAAAATACCAGTAGCAGAACAGACGTACAGGGCTGTTGAGTGCATTGCAGAGCTTCACTTCCTGGTCCTATCCATTAAGGGACAGTGGACAAGTCACTGTGACAACAAAAAAGTTCCTGGACCTAAGGTGATGAAGTGTGAAGTGTGGTTAGAAGAGGCGGGTACCACCTCACATCAAGAGCCATTGAGCTAAAATGATCCCTGATCTTCAGATTTCTATAATTCACACATCTGTAATATTCTTTATCTTGCTGTCAATAAATTATTCATTTACATATTTATGTCTGTTACCATATCATGAGATTGGTAAGGGCAGGGAATGTGTCTTACTCATCTTTTAGTAGTATTCATACACAGTGCTATGATCCCAAATAAAGTTTGTAGAATGAAATAGACAAATAAATTCATTAATACTAAGACATATCACTTTTGCATTTTCTATATCACCAGAAAAAAATACAGGACAGAGCCAGTCTTCTGCAATTCTCTGTCCTCTAACAGAAAAGGTAGAGGTCCTAAGCAGCCAGAACCACTAGGGCAACTGCATTTTAAGCCCTGGATTAATCTACTTAATACAGAGACCTACAATTTTCTTGTTTTTTTTTGAGACAGAGTCTCGCTCTGTCGCCCAGGCTGGAGTGCAGTGGTGCCATCTGGACTCACCGCAAGCTCTCTCTCGGCTCATCGCAAGCTCCGCCTCCCGGGTTCACGCCATTCTCCTGCCTCAGCCTCCTGAGTAGCTGGGATTACAGGCGTCCACCACCATACCTGGCTAATTTTTTGTATTTTTAGTAGAGACGGGGTTTCATTGTGTTAGCCGGGATGGTCTAGATTTCTGACCTCGTGATCCACCCACCTCGGCCTCCCAAAATGCTGGGATTACAGGCGTAAGCCACTGCGCCTGGCCGAGACCTATAATTTTCTCACTGTATTCAAACACCAGGAAGAGCCTGAGGAAGAAAAGTACTGGATTAATTACTATTACTATCTAACTTAGGTATACTGAGCGCAACATATAGGAGACAATGGCTTCAAAGGCCACTGCAGCAGTCTGTAGCTTCTGTCCTACCATCTCTGGACTAGTAAACAGTCCAAGCATAACTGATATAAGCCAGAAGGAAAGTATACGTATTTGTGGTGGACATATTGGTATACACCTAAACCTGTTTCTTTCAGTACCTGGAAGACCCTGGGTAGTTTTCTGTCCTTAACTAACATCCTCCAGGAAACTTCTACTCTGGAGTTGTAGATATATCTAACATATCCCAAATACAATTCAAATAAAAATATTATCCACCATTTAACTGCAAGAGTATATTTTCAAAATAATATAAAAACTAGCCCTAGTAGCTATAAAAGATGACAGAAGAGTCATTTTAAGAAAATTTAAATATGAACATTTAAATAAGGTATATCAGCCAGGTGCAGTGGCTCACGCCTGTAATCCCAGCACTTTGGGAGGCCAAGGTGGGCGGATCACGTGAGGTCAGGAGTTTGAGACCAGCCTGACCAACATGGTGAAACCCCGTCTCCACTAAAAATTTAAAAAGTCAGCCAGGCGTGGTTGGTGGTGCCTGTAATCCCAGCTACTTAGGAGGCTGAGGTAGGAGAATCCCTTGAACCCAGGAGGCGGAGGTTGTAGTGAGTCAACATGGTGCCACTGTATTCCAGCCTGGGCGACAGAGTGAGATGTCGCCTCCAAAAAAAAAAAAAAAAATTAATTAATTACATTAAATAAATAAGGTATAACTAACATGATGGTTTTGGAGGTCTTCAAAAATTCTACATTCTCTAAATTTGTAAGTCTTTTCAATTTCATGTGGTTTTATTGGAGAGATTTATTTATCATGATTAGAATAAGAGAGCAGTTTTTTCATTTTAACCATGTAAATAGAGTTCAGATTTTCTTGGGCCCATAAAGATACATTCCACTGAATTAGCACTGCAAAGTTGAAAGTGAAAAGGCCCTCCATACATTTTGTGCTTCCTCCTTCCACATTCATAAGATAACTTTATTTTTACATATACCTTTTATGTTAACAGTCTTAGAGAATAAAATACAGTACAATAATACCAAAATTAAAAAATCTAAGTATTAATAGATATTTATTTCAGTAGATGTACTGCTTTTTATTTAAGGTTCAGAAATAGATAACTTTGAACCTCCAGAGAAATAATTTGTATGAATCACCTACACATTCCATGTAACAGCTCATCAATATTCAAACTGGTTGTCTTATTCTAATGGCTAGAAAGCAAAATGAGGAAAAAAATACTAACAACACTATAACAGATTTTAGAGTGAGAGCCTCCAATAAACACAAAGCAAATATTTTCAAGATATAAAATATTAAAATTATAAATAAGGAAAATCAAACTTACTAATGAGTCATACACAAAACTTGCATATTAATTAACAAATTGGAAAGCAAAATCTACTAAAGTTGCTGACAATAAAAGATACAAAGCTTCAAGTCAATCAATGAAAAGTTGTGAGATTTATTTTTGAACCTTAAGATAGTTTCAAATATGTTTAAGGTACATATAAAGTATATATATACATATATATATATCTTTAAAAGTATACATATTTTACTTTTACTTTAAAAATGTACCATAAAGGAACTTAGAAATAAAATATACTGTTGGGTTTTAGATAAATAATTCATATTTTAAAATGTAAAATAAAATTATCCATACTACTTATTCCACTTCTAAATTATGATCTATAGGTGATATTGCATTCTAAAACATGAATACATACCAGGTACACACAAGGAAGACTTCTTTTCTTAAAGATTAAAAAGTGGTTCTTACCTAACATCAGTTTTATTCTGAATAACATTGATTTCTTCTGGACTTAGCTCTGGGATCCATTTTTCAATTTCTTCTGTCCAAGGGTACCTCAGAGACGAAGGGACCACTATTAACAGAGGCCATTCCTCTTTATAGAAGTAAGCAATTCCAATTGCCTGGATTGTCTTTCCTAGACCCATCTAAATTAAAAAAATAAATAAATGTTAATTAATAATAAAGCCTAAAATATTTTAAAAGAAAATATTTATCAAACGTTTTATTTACGAGTATTATTAGCTGGATGTGATGGCTCATGGCTGTAATCCCAGCACTTTGGGAGGCTGACATAGGTGGATCGCTTGAGCCCAGGAGTTCAAGACCAGCCTGGCCAACATGGTGAAACCCCGTCTCTATTTTTAAAAAGTACAAAAAATTAGCTGGGCGTGGCAGCACGCACCTGTAGTTCCAGCTACTTGGAGGCTGAGGCAGAAGGATTGCTTGAACCCAGGAGGTTAAGGCTACAGTGAGCCTAGACTAAACCACTACACTCCAGCCTGGGTGACAGAGCAAGACTGTCTTAAAAAAAAAATGTATTATCAAAATAATTTTCCAATGTAAAATTAGTTGGATTATACAGTTAATAAAAAGTTTGATATTATAAGGACCTGTAAAATTCATTAAGCAAATCATATTATGTTCAAACTATTCATGATTGAACTTAAAGAGACAAAATTACTCCTAAGGTTAAATATTAGTTATGTTGATTTTATATAATTACTTTTATGAAATGTATGTAACCATTTATAGTCTCTCCTCTTAGACAATAGTAAATGTCTTAACAGCACAAAACCATGTTATTTCAAAACTAGAGTAAGTCCTGAATGAGGCACATTTTATAAAACAAGCAGGCACAGAGAAGTTAAATTATTTAAATCACAGCTGGCTGATGCAAAACTAGTATGAGATCCCAGGTCTCAGGTGTCTTCCCACTTGATTTGTATCCACACTGTCACACTGCCTGACTTCTAAGCTGTTCCAATTAAAAAAGTAGTCACTTAGTGAATATTTATAGTGTTTTTGTTCAAAATAGCCAGAAACTGGATACAACTCAAATGTACTTCACCTGTGCATGAATAATCAAATGATGTCATATTCATACAATGGAGTACTATTCAGTGATAAAAAAAGAATGAACTCACGCTCTACACAACATGAATAGATCTAAAATGCATTTTGGTAAGGGAAAGAAGCCAGATTCAAAATCTACATACTAAATGATTCCATTTATATGTCTCATTCTGGAAAAGGTAAATAAAAGGGAGCCATAGCAGATCAGTGGTTGCCAGTGGCTGGAGGTAGGGGAGGGGAATAGCATGAGGGAACTTTTGGGAATGGAGTCAGTCTATACCTTGATGTTAGCGGCTGTTACATAACCATATGCATCTTTTAGAACTCACAGAATTGTACACTAAAAATGGGTAAATTTACTTAAAAGTGCGAATTATACCTCAATAATCCTTACCTTTTTAGTAGTCACTACGGCAAACAATGGGAAAGAGAGACTAAATGACAAGCCCTGTTTACCAGACTATACAAAGAGAAAAAAGAAAAACACAGGAACTGAAAACAAAGAGTTTAAAATGAATTTTAAGTGCTGAGCAACACTAAAGAAATGAGAAAAGGGCAGATATTAGACTTTTAAGTTTCCACTGAGAAAACTTTATTTTGTTCATGTATTTTTCTTTCAACTGCTCCCGTTAACAACAAAAAAGCAACCTTAGAATAATTCATGCAAAGTTATATTTATACATTCATGGGATAATAACTAGTATGTTTCGTGTCTTCAAAGCCCTCCAATTTTCATACCTGAAGCCACTCAAACATCACTGGATTCTGGGACCACCTTGGTTCCAATACAGCAGAACTTTAACAATTATAGATCTTTTTTTCTTTTTTTGGACGGAGTTTTGCTCTTGTTGCCCAGGCTGGAGTGCAATAGCGCGATCTCAGCTCACAGCAACCTCCACCTCCTGGGTTCAAGCCATTCTCCTACCTCAGCCTCTAGAGTAGCTGAAGTGGCATGAGCCATCATGCTCAGCTAATTTTGTATTTTTAGTAGAGATGGGGTTTCTCCATGTTGGTCAGGCTGGTCTCAAACTCCTGACCTCAGGTGATCCGCCCACCTCAGCCTCCCAAAGTGCTGGGATTGCAGGTGTGAGCCACTACGCCCAGCCAACAATTACAGCTCTTTACCTGGCTAGAGTTCTTCAGTGTGTTACTTCCCCGCCTCAACAACTCTGCCAAAAACAGACTTCCAGGAATTGAGGCTTGGCCCTATTTTTTTTGTGTGGACAATACCACTAACTTTGTGCTATGGTTAGGGGTCTCTGGTTTCATTTCCTGCCATGGTTTCATAACACATTTTCTTAATTTCAATTTATCTGCAAATAGGATCTGTTTTGCTTCCCCGATTATCTGGAAAGTAGAATTCTCTCTCTGCAACCCAGATTCTATCACTAGAACCTCAGCTGCTTGCTGCTAAATTTACTTGGTGTCAGTCACCTGTCTATCTATACATTTTGCACTTCATGTATGACTAACAGTGTTCTGTGTTGGCTTGCCAGGCAACTCTCTCCCAAAGACCGCCACTCCTCAAAATTTCCTAATCTTGTCTACTGAGATCGGGTGTGTAAGCCTTCAATAGGATAAGTAGAATTGGGACTTGAAACAATAGGTAGAATTAAAAAAACAATGAAATTTCAGTTAGATAGAAGGAATAAGGTGAAGAGATACATCGTCCAACAGGGTAACTATAGTTAATAACAACATACTACATTCTTAAAAATTGCAAAGAGAGTAGATTTTAAGCTGTTCCCATCACAAAAAAGCACGTGAAGTAATGCATATGTTAATTAACTCAATGTAGCCATTCTACAATGTATACATATTTCAAAACAACATATTATACACCATAAATATATAATTTTTATTTGTCAAATATTTTTAAAGAAAAAAATAAGAAAAATAAGTTTTAGGTTGAGGACAGGCGAAGAAAAGGGAAACTAGCCTGAGTATGGGTAAGAATAATCCTGATATGTTGGGAAGCTAATTTGATTAGAAGTTTGAATATTTTTGTCTTCTAGTTCTCTAATTTTGTATTCTTGTATCTAATCTATTAAATCTACTAGAATTAACTCCAGATGTTATTTTTCAGTTCTAAAATGTCCACTAGAATCTGTTTTTGTTATTGTTATTGTTCTAACATGTTAAAAATTCTTGATTTTTGTTTGTTTTGTTTGTTTGTTTTTTGAGATAGGGTCTTGCTGTGGCTGGAGGGCAGTGGTGTAATCGTGGCTCACTGCAGCCTCGATCTGGGCTCAAGCAATCCTGCTAGCTCAGCCTCCTGGGTAGCCGGGACTCCAGGCATGTGCCACCATAACCAGCTTTTTTTTTTTTTTTTTTTTTTTTGGTACTTTTTGGCCAGGCTGGTCTTGAACTCCTGAGCTCAAGCAATTCACCTGCTTTAGCCTTCCAAAGTGCTGGGATTACAGGCAAGAGCCACCATGCCTGTCACCAAGGGTGGAGTACAGTGGCATGATCTTGGCTCACTGCAACCACCTCTACCTCCTGGGTTCAAGCGATTCTCATTCTTAGTCGCCTGAGTACCTGGGGACTACAGGCGAGTGCCATCACACCTGGCTGGTTTTTGTTATTTTTAGTAGAGACAGGGTTTTTTTGTTTGTTTGTTTGTTTGTTTTGTTTTCTTAAGACGGAATCTTGCTCTGTCGCCTAGGCTGAAGTGCAGTGGTACGATCTCGGCTCACTGCAACCTCTGCCTCCTGGGTTCAAGC